CTCTGGGGGAGCGCAGCAAGACCCCACTATCAAAAAAATAAAAAATAAAAATTCTGCTGTTTTTTTGCATCGCCCGGGTTCGCCAGCCGTCGGCCCATTTTTCGTCGCCCGGTTTCTTCTTCTTCTTCTTCTTCTTCTTCTTCTTCTTCTTCTTCTTCTTTTTATTAATAAAAACAGGTCCTTATGGCCCTGGCTCCATTTCCATTCTGGGGAGCATCAGTCCGGTTTCTATTCCACCAGCAAGTCAGAATAAAATGTTACATCAGGGCAGACACTCACGCTTCCTTCCGTCTGGCCGAAGGACCCCTGAACAGCATTGATTACTCCATCATCGTGGAGGATTGTCCGTCAGCTTGCCTTGCTTCCACCTTTCCTCTCAGGCCCACATCATGAGCCTGTCAGGTAAAAATAAAGAACAAGAAAGGTAAAAGAAGCTACGTAGGATGCACAAACGGAAATCGGCCTTCAATATTATGTGACCAGTGATGGATCTTGTCTGTCTGCTGGCTGGGAACTCTGCCTTCTCCACCCTGCTTCTGCGTTGTGCCAGTCTTTCCACCGTATACAAAGGTCCTTTATCTCTGCGACTTTGCCCCCTGCGAGCCACACCTTAGTGAATTTTGCCTTGATTCTTCTCTGTTGCTCTTTGTCATCTGGCATGGAGTGTCTCGTCTTATGACACTTGCAGACAATCTCAGCTTGGATCGAAGTCCTCGTCTCCGCCCATACCTTCTCCCTTGGAGTTGATAGTCCCTCGATGGTTCTGTAGCACCTTTCCTTCCATATGGACCACATCGTTACCTTTCTGATCATTCCGAACCATGCTCTCTCTGTCTTATGGAATTGAGCTGGGATGTTAGTCCATAGAAGAAGTTGGATGGGGTGCTCAGGGAGTGGGGTCGAGAAGAGGGAATCCCAGAGATCCAAGGCCCTCGCCCAGTATTCCGTCGCCTCTCTACAGCGTACCAATGTAGCAAATCTTCTGGTTCATTTTCTGAGCATACCGCACATAAATCTGAACTGTCGGGGTCGTTCTTACTTCTTCTGGTATGCAGCCACTGATTAACTGGTAGAGCCACGTAAGAGATGACCCATTGGAGGCTTCTGATTTTGACCAGACGGATTGATTTAAATTTTTTCCATGGTATTTGTGGGATCAAACTAGCGTCCTGGCCTAATAATTTCTGCCATCTATTCTTGATCGTTGGGTCAGGATCCTTTGACTGTGTGTTCCTAGATGGGGACATCCGTTTTGAAACTTCCGCTTCTATCTGGAGTCCAAGCCCACTCTGCTGGATCAAATTCCAGATCTTGAATCGCGGTATCTATTCTAAAAATTGTTTTTGGCCACGATCCCAACACTCTTACTTTTCTGAGAACAAAAGGGTTTAGGACTGTTCTTTCCACCTCCTCATTCAGGATATATGGGAGGCCTTGCGTGGAGGGGGTAATTGGAAAAGAGGTAAACACAGCCAGGGTATCCGATCCTTGTTGTTTATGGGAGAATTGATATGCCTTTGAGGGGGTTAAATCCTGCACCCTCACCCCTCATTCACCCGATTTCCAGGTTGAGGTTTCACTCAACAGCTCCTTCCAACCTTCTGGAATGCAGTTAATGATGGATTGTAAGTTCTCGTCTCGTCGGTGACATCCTTTGAGCTGGGAGGCCAGTTCCTGTTGTGTCACCCAGTCCTTTTTCTCCTCATTCCACAGATGGCTCACTTTCCAAACTCCATGTTTGATCCACGATAGCCATCTCCTGCCTCTAGGTTTAAGGGATAGTTGGTGATCACTTTCGTCTCTCACCCACGGATTACCAAATAGGGGTTGCCTCAATATCTCATCTTTGGATTTGGGTCTACCCACCTTCTTCGGCATGACTTCCCACCATATCCTTAGCAATGTAGTCCAATACGGTGTGGGGGGCTGGGTTTCATTTGGACCGACTCCTCTTCTCTGATTTCTGCGCCCTGTGCTTGGGCTCCATTCCTTGGTCATTACCCAGAACAGACCGGACATGTTTGTTGGTGAGGCTATCGGTGGTAGGCCCCTGATGCTGTCCAATGTCGTGCCAGGTTTAGTGAGAAGTTTGACTATCCATTTAACTTGTAAGGCTTTGGTTTCCTGTTTAGGGTCTATGATACCAAGACCTCCTCTGGATGGTTCCCTTGTGATGTGGTGCCAGGCTATCTTTCGTATACAGTTCTCTTTGTTGGGGTCTCCTGACCACAAGTAAGCTCTTGCTTTGCGGTTAAGTTCCTTGATTGTATGGTCCGAAACAGTCCAGATTGACGCTATATACCACATCATTGAAAAAATAGATGTGTTGATGGCAAGTGCTCGGCCCAACAGTGATGTGAATGTGTTACCCCATCTGCCTAGTTTGTTAATTTGTTTATGGGTATATTTTGGGCCATTTG